AGAGAAGAGGTGTTGGGCTAGAGAAAATAGAGGGTGAGAGCAATAATTGAGAAAGAAACGATAAAAGAAATAAGAAGGGAAGAAAGAGGAGAAAGAGGAGGCGAAAGAGGTAAATGGAAGTAAGGTAGAGGAACAAGTTAAAGAGAGTGCTCGAGGGGCAAAGGGAGCAGGTGTGCCTGCATGGCACGTGAGGCGGGACGAAGGGTTTGCTTTTAATCTCAGTAAATCACAGTAACTGATTTTATAATCGTTATTAAAGCCGCTGGATTCCTGGGAGCCTTCAACTTGAACGAATAACCGTGTTTCACGAAATTATGGTCTTAAAATATTTATCAAAAGCAAAATCGACGGAAGAAATTTTAAAATAAAAATACATGAATTATGTGAAGGAAGAATTCATCAAAATATTTCAACTTCACAATTTTATCCAAGTTTATCGCTTATAGAATTATTTATTTAAACTTTAAAAGAAAAATTTATAAAGTCAATTTCAAATTTTTACATGGAAAACTTCTTTTGTATATTTTTTCATAATAATTGTCACAAAAATTATGATTTTATTGTGCACTGAAAAAAAAAATTTAATTGAGTGAAATAACCGATTAATTGACTATTATCAATTAAATATTTACTTGAATCAAATAATATTTATTTGAGTCAATATGAATTGAATCATTAAATGGTTCAATTCATATTTGCTTCAAATACTGAAATTATTGGTTCAAATACCATTTAATTGACTCCAATAAAAAATTCAATTAAATATTTAATTGATAATAGTCAATTAATCGGTTATTTGAATCAAATAAATTTTTTTTTCAGTGTGTCCTGATTTCCGGAGAGAATTTTGGCTTTTTGCCTGATTCCCATAAAAAAAAATTCAATAAGTTCAAATACTTGAAAAATTTTCAATTTTTGTAAACTTTAATTATTTTCAACTGAATTTTAGAAAACTAAAATTATTTTTTAAAACCAAAAAAATATTCTTGAAAATTTTAATTACTTTAAATAGAATGTTTAGAAATACGAATTATTTCAAAAATTAAAAAAAATTCTTTAAAACCTCAATTACTTTTAGAAGTTTTAGAAAAATTTTAGAGAGTTTCAATTATTTTTAAAAAATTTTATAAACATTCAATTATTTTTCTATACAAATTTAAGAAATTTCAATTATTATAATAAACAAAAAATTTATTTAAAACTTCAATTATTTTTAATATAATTTCAGAAAATATGAATTGTTTCAATAAAATTCATTAAACATTTAATTATTTTTAAAAGAATGTTAGAAAAATTCAATCATTACAAAAATTTCAAAATTATTATTCAATTATTATTTTTAATAGAATTTGTTAGAAAATTCAATTATTTTGAAAATTCCAATAAAATGTTTTAAAACTTTAAATATTTTAAACAGAATTTTTAGTAACTGAAATTATTTTAAAAATGTACAATTACTTATTTACAAAAATTAAATTATATTAAAAAATAAATGAAAAAATGAAATCTTTCAAAAAACCAAATTTTCAGAAAATGATTAAAATTTTACTATAAATTTCGATTTTAAAAAAAAAATTCAACTGAAGTTTAGAAAACAAAAATAATTTTTTAAAATACAAGAAAAAAATTCTTTAAAATTTTAATTATTTTGAATAGACTGTTTAGAAATTCCAATTATAACTAAAATTATTTTAAAAAAAAATTCTTAAAAATTTTAATTATTTTGAATAGAATGTTTAGAAATTCCAATTATTTTTAAAAATTAAAAAAATCTCTTTAAAACTTCAATTACTTTTAAAAGAATTTTAGAGAATGATGAATAAAATTTTACGAAATTTCAATTTAAAAAAAAAATTCTAATTTTAATCTTTGTAAAATTAATTAATTAAAATTTTTAATTGCAACTTGTATTCAAATGAAATTGTTTCAGATGGAATTAGATTAGAAATATTTCATGTTGATTTTTAAATTAAAAATTCTTTAACAAATTTAATTAGTTTCAATTATTCAATTTCTCAAAGGGCCTAGCGGAGTAAGCATGCAAAATCTGCCCCCGCTCAAAAAAATTTGAAATTCTTGTTACATGTTGGCAATATTAAGATAAAATTTTTCACCAAATATTTTTTCAAAAAATGTATTTTTGTAAGAGTTATGGAGGGGGAAAGAAAAATCATAAATTTGTTTTTTCTCGAAAACCACTGGATCGATTTTAATTAAATTTATATGTGTTTTATAAATTCATAAGAGGAATTTAAAAAAAAAATTTCAAAAAATTTTGCCCGGAAAAAACCAAAAAAAAAAACCCAAAACAAAAATTTTTTAATTTTCAAAAAAAAATTTTTTGGTCTTATTTTAGAGATACTACTTTGGAATTTTTACAGAAAATTCTCCTAAATGTGTACTTTTAAGAAATATTTTTGTCGATTTTTTTAATTGGGTACCACATAGTTAAAAAAATTAAAATCCTAGGTGGCGCATCATTCTGGCTGAAGCACAATGTATCCAGTAACTGATTATTTTTAAATTTCCTTGAAATTTAGTAATTATGCGTTTCTGGGGTCACTCAGTACGAATGTAATATTAAATTTTCAAAATTCAAAATGACTTGGTACATTGTGCTTCAGCCGGAATGATGCGCCACCTAGGATTTTAATTTTTTTAACTATGTAGTACCCAATTAAAAAAATCGCCAAAAATATTTCTTAAAAGTACACATTTAGGAGAATTTTCTGTAAAAATTCCAAAGTAGTATCTCTAAAATAATACCAAAAAAATTTTTTTTTAAAATTAAAAAATTTTTGTTTTGGGTTTTTTTTTTGGTTTTTTTCGGGCAAAATTTTTTGAAATTTTTTTTTTAAATTCCTCTTATGAATTTATAAAACACATATAAATTTCATTAAAATCGATCCAGTGGTTTTCGAGAAAAAACAAAATTTTTGATTTTTCTTTCCCCCTCCATAAATAAAACTGGAACAATTTTTGGAAAAAAATTTATTTATCATTTATTTTTTAACAGGAGTTGAAATTTTCATAAGATTTAATTAAAAACTATTTTTGAAATTAAATTATTTCTGAAAATTGCATTTTTTTCAAACTCAAATCTTTTTTAATTTCATTAAAATTAATAACTTTCGAATAAAATTATTATAGAATTTAATTGTTAGATAATTAAATTATTTTCAGAAATAAAAAGTTAAGATATATTTTTTTAAATTCATCATGATTCAAAATCTTTTAAGGTGAAAAAAATTTAAACAGAATTCAAGGTTTGATTTTCAAAAATATTTCTGAGGATCAATTGTGTAATTTCATTTCTACTTTGATTTTCATTTTTATTTTCACTTTGATAGATTTTTATTTTAACTTTTATATTCACTTTGATTGATTTTTCTCTTAAATTTCACTTTAACTATAGTTAATGATTTTTATTTTTGTTTTCATTTTAATTTTCACTGTCATGGATTTTTATTTTTGTTTTCATTTTTACTTCACATTTTATAAACATTGATGAATTTTATACGAACATTTAAAAGTGAAAATGAATTTAAAATAAAAATTTAAAAATTAGAGTGAAACTGAAAGAAATAAAATTCCAGCAAAATAAGAGTGAAAAAGAGACGAAAAAATAAAAGTTTAAAGTTAGAGTAGATATGAAATTACATAATTGATCCCCTGGAAAACCAAAAATTAGAATTAATACCGTAATTTCAGAAATTACAGTAATTCAAATTTAAGGAGAAAAGGAGTAAAATTTTAATCTATAAATCTTCCTCCTTTTGTTTTAAACCCAAAAAATCCAACTTTTTAAGAATTCTATTGTGAATTAAAAAATTTTTTTACAATTCTACAAAATTTCCCTTTATTTTACAATGTGTAGTCCTAATTTTCCAAATTTACAAACTATAGAATATAATTACTAACGAAGACTAAAATATAATTATTTATATTTTTTTTTATTTTCTTTTCCACAATTATTTTTTATTTTCTAAAAATATATTAAATATTTCCTAGCGCGAAGATACAAAGGACAAAAAAATGTTGACAATTTATAATCATTACATATCTGGAAAAAAAACCTCGAAAAAAATAATTTCAATTTAAAATTCCCGATTCAAAAAAAAAATAATTTTTAATAAAATTAATTTGATTAGTGTTATTCCCGCGTGGAAATAGAAAGTATGGGATAACTATGGATGAAGTTTTTTTAAGATTTCACCCAAGATTAATGTGCAGTGGCTCAACTATGGGTTTTGTCCAAATCCCATAGTTAAAGTTTGGCTGTCTATAAGTCCAACATTCGATGAAATTTCGCCGCAAGTTGTGCCATACTATGAGTCAAGAATGAAACAGTCGATGGAATTTCGCCGCTACTTGTGCCAAACTATGGGCAAAGTATGGGACTTTTTAAAATCACGTAATTTAATTGCGCAATTTAATTCAACTACAGATTAAACTGCATTTTTTTTAGACTTTCTTAATTTAATATGCGATTATAATATAAAAAAGAAAAAAGAGAGAAAAGAAAAGTTGAGAAAATAATATTTTCCACAATATTTGGTTTTTCAAATATCTATAATTTTGTAATTTCTGATCGAATTTAGTTTATAAATAGGAAAATCGAAGTTATGAGACTTTTAAAGTTACTCCTACATTTTTAAACAATTTTAAAAAGCCTTATTTTTTAAAAAGCTATGGTCAAAAACTTTTTTTTAAATTGAAATTGCAAAAAATATAGGTAAACTTTATGAATTGGAATAAAAATACTTTTATTTCATGTCTCCGAGAAGATCTAAAATTTAAAAGAAATTGAAGCCTGTCTTTAAATTTAAAAATTAAATAATACAATTTGGTAGTATTTAAATTATTAAATTAATTATTTTATTTAATATTAATATTAAATTAATATGGCTTAATATTAAATAGAAGAGAACGTTAATATAAGTATAGATTCAAGTGGTTTCTAGGTAGAACAAGCACTTTTTAAATAGTCTTTTAGCTATTTAAAAAAAGTAATGAAAATTGTAATGTAATTTAAAAAAATTTTGTTTTTTTCTTCTTTGGCTCTTCAAGATTTTTTCCATGTTCACTTTCATGCTCACTGTCATCCTCTTCATTCTCAGTATTCTTATCAAGTTCACTTTCTGATTCTTCTTCGCTATCGTTATCATCATTAGTAGTCTCGGAATGTTCACCATTCTCTGCAAAACTATTGTCGTCTTCATTCACTTCATCTTCGCTATTTTTTTCACGGTGACTATCTTTTTCATTTGTTTTTTTATTTATATCTTTTTCATTATCATTAACCTTTTCTATTTCTGAATGATCTTTTTTTCCACCTTTAGGATTTCTCAAAGTTCCACATTGATAATTTAAGACAGATCTAAATTCCACCTCAGTAAAATGTTTGTTTCTAACGTGCACATATTCTAAAATTTAAATATTATAATATTGAAAATTACAAAAAATTCTTGTTGTATTTACAAAAATGATTTAAAATTTCCTCTATAACTTATAAAAATCTATATTATATGAATATACTAACTATAGACATTAGCTCTTATATTTTCGGGAATTCCATTTCCTGTTTTTCCGAGCGCTGTCATAGTTTTTAATTTTTCAGGTCCTACTAATTCCAACATTAATTGACGAGTTAATTCCCTTGGCTTATGTCTATATCGCTTCATTAAAAACAGTTTATTTTCATTTATAAGGATATCCGATCCTTCAAACAATGGCGTCATATTAGATGTCTTTAAGGAATTTTCCATTATCTGTTATAACCAAATAAGTTAATTATAACGAAAACATATTTTAAAATATAGAATACAAATTTTAAATGCAGTACTCACAGAAGATATTACTTCACCATTTTGATTTAAGGACATTTTAGTAAATTTTAATAGTATCTCACAAAAATTGATAACTTCTGGTGTAACTAAAAAAAATTCCGAAAAATTATTATTATGCGCTAAATTTAAATCTTTAAATAATTTAAAATAATTCATTTTTTCTTACTTTTTGCTTTCAGTTCATCGAAGAGCAAATTAATTGATTTCTCATGTTGTGTGGTATTATTTTGAGAATCTTCGTTTGTATTACCTAATATATTAAATTTTTTTGTCATTATTTTAAATTAATTAATTTTTCAAATATTTCACTAATAAAATAATTTCAATAATAAAAATATTTTAAATAATGTGATTAGATAAATTAAAGAAATAAATGATTTAATAGTATAGATTATAAATAAAGATAAATAGCTTAAATCACTCTTTAACAAATTTAAAACTGAGTATAATTCTATAAAAGAATAATTCTTTGGTTTTCCAAACACTATAAAATATGTAATTTTTTAATGTAAATTACCGGAATTTGATAGGTGTTCGGAAGTTGTAGATGATTCGGAAGAAAATTTTGACTTTGTAGACTTTTTGGAGTTTGATGCTAAATTTAAAGTTGCATGTAATTTGGAAGTTGAGGACAATTTTGACGTTAAAGGTGGTGTAGAAGTTAAAACTAATTTTGTTTTTTGGGGCAATTTGAAGCTTAATGACGATTTTGAATTTGAAGTCGATTTGAAAGTTGAATTTAATGCGGAAATTGAGGTCAATTTCGATGTTAAATTAAATTCAGTAGTTGAAGGCGATTCAGTAGTTGAAGGCGATTCAGTGGTTGAAGGCGATTCAATAGTTGAAGGCGATTCAGTAGTTGAAGACGATTCAATAATTGAAGGCGATTCAATAGTAAAAGGTGATTCAGTTGATGAAGGCGATTCAGAAGTTGAAGGTGATTTGGAAGTTGAACGTAACACAGAAGTTGTAGGCAATATCGATGTTGAAGGAGATTCTACAATTGAGAACATTTTGGAGATTTGTTTTTCATCAGTCTTATTCATCTTAACATTCTTTTTTCTCTTCAGTGCTAAATGAGCTTCGTCCCTTTTCATTTGATTTTCTAATTCTAATTTTTCTTTATTCTTCACACTCACACTTTTATTAGCGGTTTTCTTATCTGCATCCTCTGTAAAATTTTGAAAGATTTAATATAATTCTTCCACAAAGATTTTATATATCTATAAATTGGATAAAAGTTAAAAGAAAATAATATATTTAACAACCGCAAATTAATGAAAAATTAGAAATTTCTTTTTGTATAATTTTATTCGTTTGGGCTCTCATTCTCTTTTTCAGTGCTAAATGAACCTTGTCACTTTCACATTGACTTTTTAATTTTTTATCATTAATTTTTGTTATTTCTTCAGCTTTTGTTTGTTTACTATATTTTATATTATTGACACCATCACTTTGAACATCATTTATACAATCAAAATTAGTAGTTTCATCATGTTTATTATCTATACAAAATATATGGAAATAGTAGTAAAGATATAATATAAAAATTCTGAAAAATGTCATTTACAATTTACAATTTACTTTTAAAAAATTAAATATTCTCTAAAATTTTAATTACTTTTATTTTCGTGGAAATGTAAAAAAATTAAAATTTTAAATTTACATTAAAATTAAAAAATGTAAGTGTACATATTTAGAAAAAGTATTAAATTTAATTAACATTTAACTATTAAGTGAATATTGTTACTTCTATTTGTTTTCATTAATTTGCAAATTCTTATTTGCAAATGCATCGTTAAATTTATATTCCAATTTATTTAAAAATCCTTTTAGAAACACATAGAGTTAAAACATATTTATGTATTATTTAATTTACCACAAATTGGGTGCAGTGATGAAATTTTTTTTTCTAAAACTGATTTTGTTTGCTCTCTCATCTTCGTTTTTAATTTTAATTGAGCCTTCTCCTTCGTGGATTGAGTTTTTACTTTTCTGACATTTCTATTTTTCTTCTGTTCAGTCGTGGTCCCGTCTCTATTTACATTTCTGCTCATTTTTTCTAAAAAGTCTTTTGACTCTAAAATAGGTACATGAAAATTATAAATATTTTATTTACAAAATTAAAAACTCTATTTAAAATTATGTATTATTTTTTTCTACAGACTGTAGAAATAAGTAAGAGTGTTGCTATTATTTTTATAAGAATAATAATAATATTAATAATAATAATAATAAATTAAGAAAAATGTATATATATATATGCTCCCGCAATGGGTAAAAAAGCCAAAAGAAGTAACGATAATGGAGAAAACTAAGATCGCAAAATAAATAAATGAGGGAGAAATATTTAAAAAATTAATAAAAAAAAGTTAAACTAAAAAGTAAATTGCAAATTATAAATGAAATTTTGCAGAAGTGAATAAAAAAAATAATAATAATAATAATAATAATAATAATAATAATAATAATAATAATAAAATAATAATAATATTAATAGAAATATTAACAATAATAATAATGAAATAATCATAATATTAATAAAAATATTAACAATAATAATAATAACAACAATGATAATAATACATTATTTGTAAATAATATAAAAATATATTATAAAATAACAGTAATAAGTTTTTTATAAAAAATAATATTATTTTAGTGACAATTGTAAATAAACATTATTATTGTTTACCACTCCTTTGAAGAAGAGTTGCTTTAAAAACTCCTTTTTTCGGATAGTCAATATCAAATATTTCTCCCTCATTTATTTCTTTTGCGCTTTCAGTTTCCTCCATTACTGTCACTTCATTTGGCTTTTTTACCCATTGCACGAGCATATACATTTTTGTTTCCATTATGTCAAAGTGAAGCTGCCTATATTTCAATGCTGTCAAATCTCGTTCACGAAACTTCGTTGTCAAGGGCAACGTAACATATAGACTTACATATGTTTTTTAAAAATCAAACTGCCTTTGTTTCGCCGCTAATTTCATCAAGTCAATGTCAAATTAAATCGAATCGAATTTTTTTGAAATTTCAATTTGCATTAATAAAGTCAATTTGTAATCTTTTGCTTTAAAATGCCACGAGTTCGAGATTTTGAATTATTTAGCAGAAAAACGCAATTGCGAATTGCCAACGATTTAACCGAAGATTCAGATTTTTCAGATTTTTCTAATTCAGTAAGTGTATGTAAAATTTTGAGAGCCAAATCCATGTTTTCCTGTTTTTAGAAATTAAGCGGTGATTTTTTATATTTAGACTGATGGTATTGGAGATAATGAAGCCTCAATAAGCGATAATTCTAATGTGAATATTCATAGTGACGAAAGCGAGATAACTGACGAAGGTATAAGATATATAGAAAACATTTTGATTATTCTATTAATTTTTATGAAACCAACGTTTGTTCGACGAAAAATATAATACGTAACAATTTCAATTTCCCCGCCTCAGATCCAATTTTTTTTTTCACTTTTACAAAAATACTAATGTCCGGAATTATTAGAAATTATTTTCAAGTGGAACCAGGTCGGGGAGGGCAACGATTTTTACATTCTTTTCATCACGGATTTTTCGAAAATTCAGAAATTTCAAAACAATTTCTATTTCGCCACCTCAGATCCAATTTTTTTTCCACATTTATTAAAAATACTAATGTCAGGAATCATAAGAAATTATTTTCAAGTGGAACCAGGTCGGGGAGGGCAATGATTTTGATTTTTTGTCACGGATTTTTCGAAAATTTAGAAATTTTGAAACAATTTCTATTTCCCCACCTCAGAACCAATTTTTTTTCCACATTTATTATAGATACTAATATTACAAGTCATTAGAAATTATTTTCAAGTGGAACAAGGTCGGGGAGGGCAACGATTTTGACATTTTTGTTGTCACTGATTTTTCGAAAATTCAGAAATTTCGAAACAATTTCTATTTCCCCGCCTCAGATCCAATTTTTTTTTTCACTTTTACAAAAAATACTAATGTCCGGAATTATTAGAAATTATTTTCAAGTGGAACCAGGTCGGGGAGGGCAACGATTTTTACATTCTTTTCATCACGGATTTTTCGAAAATTCAGAAATTTCAAAACAATTTCTATTTCGCCACCTCAGATCCAATTTTTTTTCCACATTTATTAAAAATACTAATGTCAGGAATCATAAGAAATTATTTTCAAGTGGAACCAGGTCGGGGAGGGCAATGATTTTGATTTTTTGTCACGGATTTTTCGAAAATTTAGAAATTTTGAAACAATTTCTATTTCCCCGCCTCAGAACCAATTTTTTTTCCACATTTATTATAGATACTAATATTACAAGTCATTAGAAATTATTTTCAAGTGGAACAAGGTCGGGGAGGGCAACGATTTTGACATTTTTGTTGTCACTGATTTTTCGAAAATTCAGAAATTTCGAAACAATTTCTATTTCCCCGCCTCAGATCCAATTTTTTTTCTACATTTATTAAAAATACTAATGTCAGGAATCATAAGAAATTATTTTCAACTGGAACCAGGTCGGGGAGGGCAATGATTTTGATTTTTTGTCGCGGATTTTTCGAAAAATCCGTGCCAAAAATCAAAATCGTTGTCCTCCCCGACCTGGTTCCACTTGAAAATAATTTCTAATGACTTCTAATATTAGTATCTATAATAAATGTGGAAAAAAAATTGGATCTGAGGCGGGGAAATTTTTACGTATTATATTTTTCGTCGAACAAACGTTGGTAACTTCAGTTTCATTAATTTTTTCACAAATCTCAACAAACATTTTTATCAATTTTTAAAATTAAAGATTAGCACACTTTAACGATTTAAATTGTGATTGGTTTAAAACTTTACAGGTAATTTTTCTAAATTTATAAGTACATACTCTTAATTTATATTATCATTTGAAGTACATACCGTAACGAAACTTTATCCGCTACGATAACATTTAAAATATTAAATGTTACTTCAATGTAACCAAAAAAATATTTCTGGATTTTTGTTAAAGTACACATTTAATTTATTAAATTAACATGTAAAATATATATGAAAAAATAAAAAATTATTCAACGTTAGCCGCACAGCACAAGATCTAGTGGAATCTGCACAATCTTCCTTTGTAAGTTTTAAAGAAGCTTCCTAGAAGCTCAAAATATGAGTCTAGAAAAAGCTACCTCTACACTTTCAAAGAAGGATTGGAAAGCTTCCCGGTATCCTCCAGG